AGAGGAGTGATCATCAGCGCTGTGTCTCTCTCCCTGCGTCAGATGCTTAAACGCGCCCGACGCGCTGCTTCAGCTGCTCGCCGCGGGACCTTTTGCTGCGCCTTGACGCGCGTCAACCATTGACTTTGCATGTAAACTCGCTGCTTCTGTTGCGCCAGCTACGTCCAGTGTGAACGCAGCATTAGTCATTCGTTGCGTTCGCCTGTCTGCTTAGCTCAAAACAACCACGCCTGGCTTGACGAAGAAACCAGGAGAACAGCTGTGCATATTTACGACAGTGCACTTTTACTTTCGCCCTCTGGGGGGAGCCTCGCTGGAAAATCAACACCGGTTGCATAGTGTACCTTTAACCACAGCGTTAATTATGCACATTATAATTAATACGTTTAAACATTCCTCTTGATAGTATTACTGCTGGGTAAAAACAAAATCTATTTAATAGATTCCTGCAAAATCAATGTGTAGGGAATGAGATCTATTAGTTTTATAGTGACACGTGTGACGTTCACATTCAAATGAGCAGGCGTGTGCAAAAGCCAACCCAAGTAACACACCGCTCAGCAAGCTGTCCCAACTGAAGTCTGAGGTCTGGAACCATTTTGGATTTAAAACAACGAAAGATAATATGCTAGATACGTGACATTAAGGTGACTTCCCACTGCATTGATAATGAGTGGCCCTTCGCATCTTGTGCTACAGACCACCAACATTACTTCAAGCCAGAAAGCCTCAAATATAGCCAATAGGTTGACTGAAGACATTAACAAATGGGGGCTGACCAGAAAAAAAACTGTAGTTGTTACAGACAACGCTGCAAATATGGTTTGTGCAGTGAAGATAATGCAGCTTATGCATGTCTGCTGTGTCACGTCTGCTTGTTCGTGTGAGGCATCACTTTTTCACTTTTCACAAACAAGTTTGCACTTTTGAGACAGTTTTGTTCACATCTCAAGTTCAAACTATCTGATTTAGAAGTTTGCACTTTGTGTTTAATATGACAGGAAAAAATAAAATACACGAGTATTTTGAGACACAGTTGAACCACTTTCCTTATTGTAAAAACAGATTTAATCAAAATTAACAGATTTAGAACTGTATGAATCAAAATCGAATCGATTCAGGACTTTGGCAAAAATACCCAGCCCTAATTACTGCTGCCACCATCTGTATTAGAGGAGGAAAAAACTGATAGGGGTGGCCAATGATTGGCTAAGGGCAGCCATGGCCACCCCTGGCCCCCCATCTAGCTCCACCCCTGATCAATAGCTGTATCTATCAGCTGATTTAAAGGAGGTCTTAATTCCCCCAAAACTGCTCTGGTTCACAGTAAAATAGTCACATATTTCTCCTCTAAATGTGATGAGGTTCATTATCACAAAACATATAATTAATAGGATTATGGTAATTTTGACATTTCTTCCTGTTTATGTTGCTTTTGGCTTCTTCATTATTGAGTGGCTTTTCTTCACATGTGAATATATAAAAAGAACACACATAATGTAATAACTAAATTAGAATATTCATCAGAAGTTTATTTATTTCATTAACTCAACTTACTAAATCAAAGGCATTGTAATTATACACAGACTGATGTTTTATACAGCAGAGGAAAATTTGACATTTGAGAAAAAAATATCACAACAGACCTACAGAAAAAAAAAATATAGAAATGATGGGTTAAAAGAAAAGCATGCTTAATAGGTTGATGTTTTTTAAAGGCACCTTCAGTTTGACAATGTAGCCTAATAGGAAGATATGATCAGACACTCAGAGAAACCAGAAACCTGGCGAGTCGAAAATAAACACATGAGATACATTTAAAGGCAGGCTCTGCAGTCCAGTACTGACAACATATATCTAAGGCTTGGTATGTAAAGGAAGCAAAAGCAGTCAGAGGAAACAGAAAGCAAATGCACAAATCCTAAGGGCAAAATTAAAAGTGAATCTGCAAAATAAAACAGAAAACAACACAAACAAACAAACAGCACAGATAAAACTAAAGCAAAGTTGTTGTTTTTTCCCTCAGACTTAGGAAGTAAAGTTTTTAAAGTGATGTAGTAGCAAATAAAAACCATAAAGTAAGAAATATGGAAACACACAATGAAAAAATAAAATTAAATTAATCATGGAGTCTGAGTAAATAAAGACCATTGTCTTTCATTTGCTTAAGAACCAAGTGCAGAAACATAAGTAGAGAGTTATCTGAATGAGATGCTTTTTCCAAATGTCATGGTTGTGGAGCTGATCCCTGCCTGTATTCGGGGATGTGATGCAGAATCCATCCAGCTGGGGCCAGGAGAGTCATAGCAAACACACACAGGGCAAAGAAGGACTGCTGTAAGAGAGTCCCAGATAAATATTAGAGTTAAACTTCCTTCTTCCTTCCTAAGAAAATATTCAAAAAACAATTCAAACTTGCTTATATCATTATATAAATGGTGCTTATATCAGCTGCTGTGTCATAGAGGTTTAGGTTGATATGCAAAGAGGTTTGGGTGCAAAACTAAATTGTTAAATGTAGTATATTTTTTTTTATTTGCAAATGCATGTGATGTATATGTATATATATATATATATATATATATATA